AGGTTTATGTGCATGCATGAGCGTGCATAAATTAATTGAATCCTGAGATAAACGGTTGTTGCACTTGTGAGAATGCATGAAAAAGGAATAAAATAGTTTTTTGGTGGTATTTTGACATGTTGTGATTGTTCTATAACTTATGGAGCATGTGCTTTAAAAATGACTTAGAAATTGGGTCCAAATGTGATATCTTAACCAATGTACATAATATCATTATTATGTTGCAATTTTATGATTTATCTTGTAAATTTATCAATTAGTCTCCAATTATTACATCTTCTTTAATGTTAAGAGGAAAACATATTTGTAGTATTTCATTTACATTTCCCCGTTATTGAAAAACAATGATCATGTTTTGTATATTTGAGAGATTTTGTGATCAAATACATTCAATCGATACCCTGTTAAATGTGTCATTCAATCAAGGAAAAACATCTCGTAATGTAAGATTCTGTCTAACTAATCGCATCTTCTCCAATTATTTTATATTTGATGTGATTTAAAATCTTATAACATTATTTTGTTAATTTCAATTTTAGAAAAAAGAATTACTTCGACAAAATTTGGTAGCAAACTTAACGAATTCTCTTCCAACAAATCTGACGATAACACCAAGTTGACAACTGATAGATAATAATTCGATGAATATCGATAATGAAACTGAAGAGTTAGGTCAATCTTCTCGTGCCCTAACGAGAAGAGTACAACCTAGGCCAATAGCATGGTCTCATTATACATATTGCACTGATGATGGAAATGCAATTATTGTGGTACCGAGTATGCTACTAATTCATGATAACAATTAGATGAAAAACTTACTATACTACATGAGAAAATATGAGTTAAACTCAAACAATAGTTGGACATTTGGACATCAATTCAGAAGATAAATTAATTAAGCAAGCACCTAGTTGGTTGCATAAGTTATAAAGAATTTGCAGCCATTGAGAAAAATACAGCATGAGACTCTTTTATCTCTTGATGTTTAGGCACTACATAATTTAACATATATCATGTTAAATAAAGCACAAAAATTTGAAAGAGCATTTGAGAGACTTGCAGAGCATGATATTATGTCTAAATTGGAACTTGAAAAAAAACATGGGTTGCTTACTAAGGAGAATTCCGGAGTTGTGAGACAATTATCAACAATGTTACAAAGTTTTTTCTTATGGACCCGAATTGTGTTTTCTACTGGTATCAAACAAAAGGATAAAGTCTAAATAAGATTTCCATAACAGGAGGAATAGCAAGGCATTATTATGAAGCACCGACAAAAAAATCCACACAACATTCAGTTCCATATTTGAGCATTTAAGAAACAAACTGCCTCAAAGTAGCTTGCTTACCACAAATTCATGTCCAAATATCATCAGATCAATCTTCTTTCCTGGTGTAGAGTCGCAAAGCAAATGCTAACCCCAGTATCAACAAAGGCACCAAGTATTGTAAGATCTTGATCCCAAACCCACTTTCCTGTTCTCTCTGAACTGGACGAGGTGGTAGATTGTACTTCTTTGTTACTGGGACCGTGGACTTGTCAACTTCACCGATATAGTATTTTTCCATCAGTGACCTGGCATCATCACTGTGACCAACATCTTCGAAATCATCGGTTGCATCTTTTCCTGCAGAGTTTTGAACATATATATGAAGAAATTCCATCAGCTGAGATTACATTCATGCCACATGTCTAATGTAAAACAGTAACTGCAAGCAATGAGGCAGAACTGAGAAGCAATATTTGTAGAAGAAAATACCCGTAGCAGCTAGCAAGACCTCATCGCCACCAGGGTGCTCTTCCATGAATGGGGTAACATCATAGACCTGAAAGAGTCGTGGTTTACATACAAGTTCATATATCTTTGTTGATTATTTAAATTATATTATGAGATAGTGGAAAATCTAAGTAGAATGAAAAGAAGTAACTTCAATGGGAAGGTAAGTCAAACCCTCAAGGGATCAAGGCAATTAAAGAAACTAATAGACTGTTAATTTAGACCCACAACTACGTAGGACTTTTGCCTGAACTGATTCACCTTCTAGTTTCATTACTGATGATGTAGCTAACATATTTTCCTTGTTACTAGAACTGAATTTCAAATCAACAATCAACAAAAAATACTGGCACCATATACATTTGGGCAATAGGCAATGCCATCCTCTTTAGTTTTCTTATTATTTGCTCCATGATGCAAACTCATGAGAAATTTATTTCATATCTATATATGAAGATCAATGGTGGTGAGAGCTAGAATTCTAAAAAGCTTATGAGAATAAGCATGACTAGATATGCAGAATGCAGACAACATCACCATCCCCTGACTCTCAATTGAAGTTTAATCTTTGTTTGATTAATGAAAACATTTTTAAGCTTTCAAGTATCTAAATTAAAATATGCTGAGACGAAAACATAAGCAAATGCTGAAAACGAAAATAAGTTTTGGAAGATGACACTGAAAATATTAACACAACTTTAATGGTAAAACTCAAATTAATATACAAATATTTTCTATTTTTGATTTCTTTCAAGTTCATACAAGTTCAAGAAACAATATCTAGAAGTTGATAGTTAAATGCAGCATTTATTTGAGAAGAACAAAAAATTATTTGTGTTTTCTAGAGGGTTATTTTAAAATTTTGAGTAACATACAATTATACTTGCCATGATTATTTTAATTACTAACATATACAAATTGAAAATTCAAATTTTAAAAATACTTTCATCTATCAAACTAAAGTTGATTTTGTATTCTTTCACCATCTCAAAATTGTTTTCTATTCGTACTTGGGCTATATTCTGATTATTATCTTCCAAATCTTGTTTTCATGTCTGATTATTATTTTCCAAATCGAAAATCCTCCTACTTCCCTTTTCTCAAGAGCCACAACTATTTCCTCCATGATGCAAATCAAAGCTGTCTAAAATCCATAGCATATCATATTAATGTCAAAGCCATGCAACACTAGTACTTACGATCCTTTTGGTAGGTTAGTACTATATCTAAGGCTTGGGTTACACAGACGTTAAGAAAAATATGTTGACTGAGATTTGCTAAACAATGTTTCTGATTGTCCTTGCAGATTATCTGCTCAAAAGGTTACATCATGGAATCCATACCCACTAAATCCGGAAGCTCGATTTCGATAAACCACAACTTGTTAGCAAGCTATAGACCATTCAACAACACTCCGCTTTATACCCAATCTTTTCTTTGTCCAAAAAAGAAAAACATCTCAACATTAAGCTTCGCAAATAATTGACTAAGTTCATCAGCTCAATCAACATATAGTACAGTAGTTTGACCAATTTTTAACATTAAAATTTCCTTGATTTTGAAACCCGCAAAAATTCTATCACAAGACTTTTGTTAATTTCAG